ATTTAAATTAAAATATATTTAAAATATAAATATACAAATAAAATTTCCAGAAATATTATGCGTAAAGAGGCTGGAGCTATATCTAAGTGGTTAAGTTCTTTCCTAGCATGCACAAGACCATGAGTTTAATTCAAAGTACTGAAAACAAGAGGAAGAGGGCTGAAGAGATGGCTCAGCAGTTAAGAGCCCTGGTTGTAACCTCAGTTCCAGGGGATCTGACACCCTCTTCTGTCCTTTGTGGGCACTGCATGACACAGGTGCACTTACATACATGTAGGCATAATACTCATACATGTAAAATAATTTTTTAAAAAATCATAAAATGAAGAGAAGGAAGAGAAGAAGTGGGGGTGGGGGAGAATTAATTGAAAGAACTAGATCTCAGGGAGGCATGATGGCTCAGCAGGTAAAGGACTTGTTCCCAGGTCTGATGACCCAAGCTTGAGCCCCAGGACCCCTTGGTAGAAGGAGAAAACCGACTCACCTAAGTTGTCCTTTGGTGTCCATATGTGTGCCTTGGCACATGCACACACACATACCACACACTCACAAACACAAAATTTTACCAAAAAAAAACCCCAAAACCCAAAAACCCTGATGGCTAATATAGATGTTTGATCTGGCCAAGGGACTACATACCAAATTTTTTTAGTATAAGAAGAAAATATTCTATTTTGTGATAGGAAAACAAAATTTAAAAGGTGCTAGTTTTTGCTTGGCACAGTAGTGCATGCCTGTAACCTCAGCACTTAGGAGACTGAGGCAGGATGACTGAAAATTGGCTATTTGGGCTACATAGTTCATTCTAGGCTAGCTTGGCCTATACAGCAAGACTTTGTTCTGGCCTCCCCACACACATTCCGGTTTTCGTTAGATACATTTATCAATTTGATATAATTTCAATTGTCAGAGGGAAAGAATCTAATTAAACTACATTCATTTGGAATAGGCATTCCACTGGCAATATGGAGAAAACAAGTGAAAATATTATCACTGAGGCAGAGCCGGCCCCCAAGGCAGTAGCTCTTCTCTAAACCGAAATGGAAGCCTTGAGTTGCTGCATCCAGGGAGGTAGAAGAATGTTTATGGGGGACATAAAGTAAAAAACTGATCCAAATTAACAAAAGGGGTTGGATCCATTGAGCTGCAATTCCAGCTCAGTGGGATAATTTTCTAGTTAAAAAAGGGATGACCTCACAGACAACGTATGCCAGAATAAAAATTGGATGGGTTAGAGGGTTAAATTATAAGAAAAAGGAAACCACAGAGAGGGAAAAGAGTGAGACACCCCGTGACCTCTGTGTAAAGCTCCATCCCTCACCTCCTGTCCCTGTGTCACCCATCTCACAGACCGTAAGACTTGAATAGCATGTGAAGGAACTCAAGTGACATACAATACTATTCAACTGTGTCTCATGAGGTGTGTTTCTCTTTCCTTCCTAAAAGAAATAATCTGCTACTTCTACCAACACTGTTGCTGCAGTGGGGCTGCTGTCAAAATGGGCAGCTCGTGAAAGCAAAAGCATAGAAGTCAAGGGACATTTCAAATGTCCAACCTGGGCAATAATCAAAGAAACGTAACCAAAGCAGTGAGATAATGCATTGTGTCTGGTTTTATTGCTGCTGTCTTTTAATGATAGCACACAGCCAAGATCTCGGGTGACAGAGGCGCCTCATGTCACAGATTGTTGATGAAAAAATAAACCAGTGCAAAAGTTTTATGGTTAATTTTTCAACATGCCAAAACTTTGTGCTTAAACTTTTATATGATTTAACATAATATGTATTTTATTTAGAAACATTTCTAAAACACTTCAGGGGAGAGGCTTGATATTTTGTAATTCTGGTCTCAGAACACTGGTGATAGCAGAAAAAAAGTTTCTAATGTCTAGTAAAAGAAAATGGGTTTTTAGTGAATCGTGAGATTTGTTTAATATATAGCTATTAAAATTCTGTTTTCAGGCTGGTGAGATGGCTCAGTGGTAGAGGCATTTGCCACACAAATCCAACAACCAGAATTGAATCCTGGGGCTCTACATGGTGGAAGGGAAGAGCTGATTTCCAGAAGTTCTCCTCTAACCGCCACATGAGCTGTATGGCATCTGTATGCACACATGTAATTTAAAATGCAGCTTTCTGTAGAGCATTTAAGTATGTATGTGTATGCACATATTTCTTTTTAGTAAGAATTGCATGAAGATGCATATATGCATACAACATGCATATTTATATGTATAAGAAGAGAGAGAGAGAGAGAGAGAGAGAGAGAGAGAGAGAGAGAGAGAGAAAGAGATACAGATCATCAGGCAAAAAGTTGCATTGAACCTGTCAGTGGTAGGTTCGTGGAAGACTTCTTTTTCCTTTTTCGTTCTTTTCTTTCCTTTTTTTTTTTTTGGTGTGTATGTGTGTGTGCAGGTGCACATTTGTATGTGTGTGAGGGCACATGTGTTTGTAGGTGCATGTGTACATGTGTGTGGAGGACAGAGGACAGCCTCAGGTGTTTCCCAGGAGCTCACCACCTTGTGTTTTGAGGCACGGTCTCTCACTGGGCCCTGGGCTCTCTGAGTAGTCTAGGCAGGCTGGCCAATGAGCCTGAGGGTCTGCCTGTTTCTGCCTCTGTGAGCTGGGATTACAAGCACGTACCATCATGCTCAGCTTTTTACATGGTGTGTGACATAGCTCAGTTGTTAACTTGACACAGCTGGCTGGAGAGAACCTCAGTGGAACTTCCTCTACTGGACTAGCCTGTGGTCCTGTGTGTGGGGCACTTTTTTGATTGTTGTGTGATGTGGGAGGGCCCAGCCCACTGTGGGTGGTGCCATCCCAGGCAGGTTGTTCTGTACTGTATAAACAAACAGGTTGAGCGAGCACAGGCCAGAAGAGCATGCCAGTAAACAGCTGTAAGCCAAATAAACCTTTTCTTCCCCAAGTTTGTTTTGGTTGATGTTTTTTATCACAGTAATAGAAAGTGAACTAGAACACATGGGTTCTGACCTCAGGTTCCCGTGCTTGCAAGGTGAACACCTTAATAACTGAGCTATCTCCCCAGCCCAAGATATTTTTTTCTTTATACTTTTGAATTTTCATTGACCCTAAAATAATTTTATACTATCTCTAAAAATACAGTAATTACTTCAAAAGTAATGCAAAATCCATAGATACAAAAAACTTAAAAAATTATTAAAGTAAATAACTTTCAAAATGTTCCAATTTTTAAAATTTGACACTATTTTTGGCTTTGATTTTCCTTCATTGAAATTTAGTTTTTTTTCAATCAAATCTGGCATTTTCTTTTTTTCCTCCCCATCTTCCATGGTAATCATTTGTGGACACTTGGAAATGTGACTCTGGAACACTAAAGTGAGCTACTTACCCACTGTCTGGAAATTGAGTGCCACCATCTGACAGCCAGCATTCCAGAAGAGCTGAGGCATGTAGTTGGATGAATCCACACGCGTTCCTTTAGGATATATCCTACTGAGTTGCATTTTATTATATCTGGACAATCATGTTAAGTAGAAAATACACTTTTTAAGATGGTTCATTGCATTGGTGGGTGAAATAAATACACAAAGAGCTTTCTGAGTAAACAGAACAAGTGTGCTCCCATGACAGACACAGGTAACAAGTTACTGAGCCTAAGAATGTCTGAGTGAAAGTGAGTGTGAATGTGAGAGAAGTTTAGGGCCAATCTTAACCATCAAGGGCACAGCAGGACTCTGAAGCAGTAAGTCACATGGGAGGAAGGGTGGTATTGTGTGTGGCAGAACAGCTACTATGAACGACAGAGCTATTTTTGAAATGTTCTGTCCTCATTCTCTTAACCTTCTCTGGGAATGCAATTTACCAAAGCTGTGGTAGTCTTTAAGATTGATAACAAAGGTAAATATAGCACAGAAGTTTCTGACCTTGCTTCAAATTTTAGTTCAGTTCCCATTCTAAGAATAATGCTGCATCTTTATGACATGATTGACTGGTTTCTATACCAGGTAAGTGGAAGTTAGTTAAGCTTCTGAGCCAGGCCAGATAGACTTGAGACTTCACTTTGGAACTTGTTGGCTGTATGATGGCAGGTAAGTTATCTCATCTTTCTGTTCTCAGTTTTCTAATCACAATAATATAACAATTCTTTCACCATGGGACTATTGTGAGAACTAACTGAGATAAAATATTTAACAAAATATCACAACGTCAATATTGAATGTTAATGACAATGATTTTTATAGCATGTCTTTACGGAGTTCATATTTATGGAGTTCACATTTGTTCCCTCTCCTACTGGTATGTATTTGTTTTTGAGACAGTCTCATATGTAGCGTAGTCTGGCCTGAAGCTGGTGATCCTCCTGTCTCACCCTCCCAAGTTCTGGAATGACATGTATGTTTGGCTTCTGTTGGTGAAGTTTTATTTAATTAACTTATTTTGGTGTGTGTGTGTGTGTGTGTGTGTGTGTGTGTGTGTGTGTATGTGTGTGTGTGTGTGTGTGTGTGTGTGTGTGTATGTATAT